CGACGGCTCAAGAGTGGTTGATATTGGATGAGCAGTGGTAACATTCACAAATTTGTCATTGATGTATTTGGGATTGGGACGACGGATACGGGTTGAGCGACATGGTGGTGGGTTGTTAGCCTGAGGTATTTGTAAATCTGTAGATGACTCAGACTCACCAGAGATAGCATCTAGCATGGTAGGTAGCATAGGTGAATGTTGGGGACTTTGGTTGGGAGGATGAATGGGAATACTAGTTTGAGAGGGTGTAGGTGTGTTGGGCTGTAATAGTGGCATAGGCGCTACAGGAATCGGGGTATTAAATAGAGTGGTATTTGCAAGCACATGTGGATTTAATACAACATTGGACCTCTCAGAAGGACCTGCGGGGGAAGAACTGTGACATGACGATATTAATGCATGAAAAGGAAACACATCATCTATAAACTGAACATGACGGGAGAGATAAACCCGAGCAGTACTAGGATCGAGACACTTGCATGCTGATTGAGAAGTAGAATACCCCAAAAACACACAAGATTTTGAGCGAGGGTGAACCTTTGTTTTTGTGTAGGGACGTAACCACGGATAACACAAACACCCAAATGGTTTTAGTTTTTCATAATTTGGTGTGGTGTTGAACAGAACTTGGAAGGGTGTTTTATTATGTAAGACAGGAGTAGGCAAACGATTTATCAAGTAGACTGCTGTTTGGAATGCATACGACCAATAACTTATTGACATCGATGCAAAGTGAAGTAACGACAAACCAACTTCTACTATATGTATGTGTCGTCGTTTTGCAGTCCCATTATGTTCAGGTGTATGAGGGGGACTGGTGAGATGGGATATTCCACATGCATTGAATAATGGAATTAGTTTTTGAAACTCTCCCCCATTATCTGAGAACATAGAGATAATTTTGTGATCTAAACGTTTTTTGACTAATTTCTTGAACTGCGAAAAGACAATGTATACATTAGATTTATTTTTTAGTGGATATAGCCATATATACTTGCTATAATAATCCACAAAGATACCATAGTAAAAGTACCCCTCAACAGATCTTTATGTAGAACTCCAAACATCAGTATAGACCAATTCCAAAGGTTTAGTGCTGACCAAGGAATTTTCAGAAAATGGCAACTTATGACTTTTATGAAGCGAACATGAGGGACAATGAAAGCTACTGACTGAATCCAAAGTAACATTATTATTTTTCAAGACATTGGCAAGAACCTTATTTGACGGATGACCTAAGACATGGTGCCAATTAGCAACTGTTGTTTTAACTGCAGTGCTAACTTGCGGAGGACAACTCAATGGAGCACAATACACGTCATGTATGTTCTTCCCCCGCATTAGAGGCGCCCCCCGTTAACTGATCCTTCACAAGAAAATAAGAAGGAAATAATTCAAGAGAGACATTATTAGTTTTGCATAGCTTGGATATGGAAATTAAATTCTTCTGTAGTTTAGGAACGCAAAGAACATTAGAAAGAGTGAGAGAGCGGTGTGATGTGGGTAGGATAGTGTGTCCAGTGTGTGTTATTTCAAGACTTTTACCCTCTCCTAGGTGAATTTCATCTGGGCCACCATATTCTGTAAACTGTCTCAACGTTGCAGGGTTGGAAGTTGCATGGTGGGATGCTCTAGAATCAAACAACCATGGTTGTTGTGTTGTCGTCGACGTCATAGTAGTGTTTACCACTGGATTGTGAACGGATCGAGTATCAGTTGAAACATTATTATCCCTTAAAAAACGCATCAACTTTCGGCACTCTCGTGTTTCATGCCCGACCAAGGTGCAAAAGCGACAAACAACATTTCTCCGTCCAGGTCGATAAGAATTCTGATGCTGCCATGACTGGCGAAATGGAGCAGAAATCATATCGTTTTGTTGGTTGCCGGCAACTTTGTTTGAATTGAAGTCGGACCTACTGGGTTGAGTTCTCCGGTTTTGTTTTTGAGTGACATTAGCAGTAGCAAACAACGTCTGTCTAGCTTCAACATTTTCTTTGTGTTGGCGCTCATGATCGGTGAGAACATCAGAAAGTTCAGCAAAGGAAATAGGCTCCGGTCGTACACGAAGAGCGGACACCAATGAATCATATTCTTCTCCTAGCTGTGTCATGATATGTACCACCAAATCTTCTTCGCCAATAGGGCTCTGTGCTAACGCAAGTGCATCTGCAATTGAACGCATTTCCTACATATACTCAATAACAGGACGCCCACCTAGCGGATTTTTGGCTAATTTTGCTTGGGATACAATACGGGAACGAGATGAACTAGCATAACTAGTAGTCAAGCGTTCCCAGGCCTCACGGGCTATTGCAGCAGAGGATATCAATGGTTGAATGGTGTCGGAGCAACTACCGAGAATGGCACTAACGATAACTTGATCTTGCCTGTACCAAATGGTATAACAGGGATTAGTTGAGGTTCGCGCTGCATCAGTAAACTGTGCAGGTGCTTGTATGGTACCATCAATGTATCCGACAAGGTCTAATCCAATGAGAGACGATTGAATCTGTCTTCTCCATATAGGAAAATTGGAGGGTGTTAGTTTAATAGGGAAGTTCGTAGGGGCATTTAGCTGGATAACAGTTGTCTGGGCTGTGATTGACATATCAAGAAGGTTGGGAAAAAAAATTAAGTTCTCGTTTGAGTATGAGTGGCTCCTGATACCATGTAAAGTATTTAGGGAAGGAAACTCAATATTTTATTGTTGCCATGCATAGGCTTTTATACAAAGAATTATACAGAGATGAAAGGCAACCATGTAGTTACAGTAACAAGCAGAGAATAGTTCAAATAAGAAACTAAATAATAGTAACTAACCAACACTAACATTAAGCTTTATCACCATGTGATTTGTTTGTCTTACAAACAAAGATGGACTATGAATTTGAAAGATTCACAATGAAGCTCAAAGTTGCTTTTGATATAGACATTGATAGATTTTTGATAGACAATTTTAATATTGTCCTCGCAAGTGCACGAGTCAATTGTAGTTTTAGCGTGCAAAGCAAGGGTCGATCCCACAGAGAATTGATACAATGCAATTTAATTACTTAAAAAGAGTGGAAAGAGAGTGAAAGTAAATCGAATGAGAAAAACTAGAAAACATACTAATCAAAAGTAAGGAAACAGAATTGACAATCAGAATAGATTAACTAAATTAAATTACCAGTAGAAAATAACGGCATGAAGAGTAATTGAATAACCTCAATGAACATCAACCGGAAAGACAATTTAATAACTTGAAATTAAAATAACTAACTAAACAATTTAAAGTGCTAAAAATGAAGATAAAATAATAAGAATGTACTCAAGTGCGAGATAATTAAATTTAAATCCAAGAAACTAAGTAATGAAAGTTAAATTGGCCAAATTCAACACAATTAATCTCAACACAAAGCGTAGGATAAATTAAAACTAGTGCAGAATTTCATAGTAAATTGATCATTTTCTAAGAATTAAAATACTCATCCAAACATAATAACCAGAACTACAGGGCAAATGCACTACATCTTAACAAGATTTATAAATTCTCAAATTATAATAAACACTAGCAGCACCAAAACTAAATTAAAATCTTAATAAAGAATTGCTATTAAATCTTAAAAAAAATTAAGCACCTTAATTAAATCAAAGAAAAGGTAAAACAATATTTGAAGATAATAATGAAAAGTAATATGCTGTCATAGGGAAATCAAAGCTGCCAAATTGAATCTCTATGAAATTGGGTTACTTTCGCTACTGGAAGGGAATAGAGAGTTGCTGCGGAGATGGAATTAGCGCTACCACAAATGGAATTCTGCCGCCAAGGATTCTGCACTGCCTGAAATTGCCGCCTCCGGAATTGTTCCGGAGTTAAATTGATGCTTCTCCTTCTACAACACTGCTCCCTATTTATATTGTTCTAGTCAATAGCTGCTTCTCATGCTCCGCTACTCCATGGCCAAAGAAGAGGCTCTGCGTCATCTGCGATCTCCTTTCTCGCGGTGGTGTTGACAGCTTCTGTTGAATCGCCGCACAAAAAGGCTTCGACCGAGACTCAAGATGAAGTATTCTTTTATTAGAATCCAAATATGATTAGTCTACGTTTATTAAAATTCCTACAGACCATAGACTATTATAACTATAATTATTAATTGAGGTTAAGAAATTATATTATCCTGATAGAATTTAATTAATAAACAAATTTAATAAAAACAGTCCTAAAAATGAATAATACTAACAAACCTACTTATATAACAATAATAAATAAAATAGATATAAAATTAATCAATTATTGTAAATTAACTATAAAAATATTATTAAAAATAACACTAAAAATAATGTTTATCAATTTTGCATATCTATCTCTTCAATATGAATGCGTTATACTTAGATAATTCTCTTGTTTAATTCTGGAAAAAAAAAAAAAAACAACAATTTTTTTTTAGCTTGGAGCACTCTATTTAATATTTATATGTGAATAGAGGTGATGGTAGTCATGTAATCCTCAATTGGAAAAATTTTGTTGCCCTTAATGTGACAGGTGTCCAAATCTGCCACATACTCAATAATGCTTGATAAGTGTATAATTGTTTATATTTATACCCATATATATCTCATACTTAGCATTATTTTGCTTATGAGGTTTTATAATGGTGTTCAAAATGATCCTTATTTTATTTATTTGATCAATTAGGCACAATTCATCATCTTTGAGTATAAGTAAAGGATTTTGGAGCATGTTGGATGCATTTGGAGTCAATGAGAGTCCAAGAGAAGCTTAGAGGATGAATAAAATACTTCCAAGTTAGCCAAATAGTGGTATTTTCAATGATTTTGATCATATAGGCAAACCAAGGCAAAAGTGGAAGAAAAGAGCAAGAAGTTGAAATTCTCGCACGGTACAGCTCATCCACTGCTCGGTATTTGGATCATATATGATCATAAAAATGTCCAAATGAAGTGATTCTCATGTCATTGGAAAGCCAACTTGAAGAGCTACAACTATTATGAAGACCTCAAAATGAAATTCTAAAGTTTTCAAGGTCAAAATGAATGGAGAATGACAAGGATGAGCAAACCAAAGTAATGCAGAAAATGAAGAAGTCGTACGCCCAAGAATACGCCCGTCCACATGGGCATCTTCCATCCATTTCTAGTACTTACTAGAATGTTTGGATGGGAAGGCGTATGTCTGTCCCTCAACCCATCCAAGATCTCAAAAAAGTAAGCAGGTGGTGTACGCCCGTTACTGAGGTCGTCCCTACCTGCTCTACCACGTATTTAAACTCAAATTGAGCTTTATTTTCACATTTATGACCCATGATTGAGCCTAGTAATTTTCTACTCATTCCTTTCATATTTTAGGGTTAGATTAGGCTTAGATTTAGGTTTCTTAACACTTTCGAAACTTGTAATATTGGATTTGAAGTATGGATTTCAAGATTGTTCTTGCATTTTAATAGATAAGTTTCTACTTCTTTCTATCTCTTTCCTTTGTGCGATTTATGATTTATTCTTGTGCTTTTATGATGTTTATGTCTAATATGTGTGAGTAATTAGTTTACAGACTTTAGTTAGGGTTGTATTATCTATCTTAATGCTTAGTTTGTGATTATTGCATAAAGGGGATTTTTGCGCACCTAGGGTTCTTGAGTTTATGAAGGATTTGTGTTTGTATATATTGTTAATGTTTGGTGTACAACATTCATTAGCATGTTTTGGAGAAATTTTGTCTACAACAAGAGTCAGGTCAAGATTTCAAGTCACTCCTTGCATAAACCTGATTTCTTCCTATGAAAATAGGGGAAATTAGGGGTTCTTGATGCTTTGTTCTTGAATAATTTCGAATTGATACATCACGAGAGTGTGGCAATTTCATGTTTTAATCTTTGTTTATTTATCACGAGAGTGACTTATAGACTAGGATTCCTAAGTGCATCATCTCAATTCCTTGGTTGTGTGATTTTTTCACAATCCTTAGGTTTTGGTATGCATCTAGAAGATAATGCTCTCTAGCTTGAGTCCTATTTCTTTATTTCGTATTGATCTCTTGTTAATATGTGTTTGTGTTATTTTGTTTAGCCATCGTTGCCTTAAAACTTGTAGTTGATTGCTTAGCTTCTTGTTTATTTCCTAAGATTAGTGTCTATTAAACTAAACTTTGATCAACTTGATCAACCTCAAGCTGAAATACAAAGAATTTCTAAGTTTTGGCCTATATGTACAAAAGATACCTAGCTAAATACAAAGACTGAAAAGTTTGGGGTATCTAGAGTCCTTATACAATATTAAAATCAACAAAATCTAAATACAATAGTTATTAACACAATTCTAAATAAAAAGATATCGAGGAACAAAACAATATTAATAAAAAATAAAAGAGCACATTGTACACAAACTAGTTTGTACCAAGACTATGTGGTCTAATGGTATCCGGGTTGGACTTTCATTTGGAAGGTTGAGAAAGTATAAGAATATAGATACTACAATGTATGTGTTTCAGTAGGTTGAGAAAGTATAAGAACAGGTTTATTGTATTTTAGCGATGATGGAAATGGAAACCGATAGATTCCTCGTAGGAGGTTATTTATAAGGGTATTTTTTGAAATAGTAAAAACATAGTTATTCCTAATGGGCTACGAAAAGCTAATACCAAGTGGGCATTGGGAATGACTATTCCCATTACAAAGAGATCGAATAGGCCATTCCGTAGAATTATATTCCTTGCTATAAGAATCAAACCCAACAGCAAAATAGGTCTATTCCACATAATGACATTTCATTCCTAAAGTATTCCACGACCGAAATGTCACATAAAATTTTATTAAAATTTATGATTTTAAATGTCTTTAAAAGTTTACAAAAGTCATGATCGAATACACCCCGTAAGGTTCCTTTGAGAAAAATTCTCTAAGAGCTCAATCATTCAACGTTGCAAGGGTCACCTTGGAAGTCTTGCTCCATCGGTAAGTTGGGGTTCGATTCACACCCAAAGCCCAAACCCTTGATCACAGGCGATGAAGACTCATAGTCTAGCGTAATGTATCCAAAAATAAAATAAAAAATAATAATAAAATAATAAAAAATCTCTAAGAGTATCCCCAACCCTTCTCTCCATTTGATGGGTCCAATTCTTTCACATCACCATATAATCTCCTTCCTTATTTTCTCTTTAATCATTCTCTCTTTTCCCCTCAATTTTTGGGTCTTACAACTCCACATGATTTATTATTTTATTCTTTTTTTAATTATAATTTCAACTTTCGGTATTAAATGTAAATACATTTAAAATAAATACATAAATAATTTTTGAATTAAATATAACATTTTAATTATTAAATTGAAACAAATAAAATCACATTAAATTAAAAAATATGAATAAATAAATAAAAATATTAAAACATAAATGGAGGTAGATAAAATTTGATAATTAGGGTAAAGGTAAAAAAAAAAAAAAAAAAAAAATAGGAATAAGGGTCAAATAGGCCACTGAACTGCACACGAGAATGCAATTAGGCCACTGAACCTAAAAAATCTACAATTGGGTCCCTAAACTAACCAATTTCATTCAATTTGTCCATTTTTCAGGTTTCTCAAGTTGCTAACAGGTTACCCCTCCACTTAGGATGCATATGTGGTATTTAAAAAAAAATATTTTTAAATTAATTTTTTAATATTTAATAAATAAATACTAAAATAATTTATTTTTAAATTAGTTTTTTAATGCTTAATAAATAAAAACTACAATAACATTTTTTTTTTGAAAATAAAATCTAAGCCCCTGTACGATATTTTATTTATAAAAAAAAACAAATTATTTTAGTTTTAATTTATTAAACATTAAAAAATAATTTAAAAATAAATTATTTTAGTTTTTATTTATTAAATATTAAAAAACTAATTTAAAAATACATTATTTAAAAAAAAAAATGCCACATATGCATTCTAGGTGGAGGGTTAACCTGTTAGTAACTTGAGAAACTTGAAAAATGGACAAATTGAATGAAATTGGTTAGTTTAGGGACCTAATTGTAGATTTTTTAGGTTCAGTGGCCTAATTGCATTTTCGTGTGCAGTTCAGTGGCCTATTTGACCCTTATTCCAAAAAAAAAAAAAAATTAAATAAAAAAATAAAAAAATAATAAAGAAAAATAGAAAAAGCAAAATCTCAGCGGCATGGGAAAGCCTTGCTCCAACTAATTAACTAACCAGCCTAAACTCTAAAGTCTAAACCTCCTTGCCAAGTGTGTGAAAACAACCAAAATAAAAAATTTATAATCTTCAGTCGTATAAAAATTCTTCATAGTTAAGACAAACTTTAAACTCTTTACAACTTTATTCTTATATTATACGATTATACTATTTGTTGAAGTACTTCGTAATAAACTCCAAGTTTCCAATTTAGAGTTAACAACTTGAATTCTACTAACCTAGGTTCTATTATTCAGTTAATAGTTTCATACTAACTTTAAGATAAAATTACGTACAAAAAATTTAAAATAAGTAATAACTCTAACATTTAAGCTTCTAATTTTTCTAATCTAATCACAAATTTACATATATTAGGGAAGCAATTAGAATTACTTTGTGGTAAAGAGTTGAATTCCTAATTTTTGAACTTAACTTTCAACCCTAATAACCATTGCATGCAAAACAAGGAAAAAATGTGAACTAAAACAGCTTCTCAAATTTTTAAATATTGTATATATATATATATATATATATATATATATATATATATATATATAGAGAGGCTAGCTTGCGCTCCTCAACCATGAGAACGCCATCCCACATAAAAGCTATGAAAAAATCTTAGACATGGAAAATAAGTGATCCACCGTTATAATTAAAAGTCAACACTCTAAATTTATGCGCATAATTAAGAATTCAAATTCTCAGAAATTTCAATTAAGGGATAAATCAATCTAAGAAAAACTTTAAACTTCTGTCTGAATAGGTAAGTCAATGACAAAATAAGAGTTCTTTAAAAAAAAAACGACAAAATAAGATCAGAGATTATATATTTTAAAATCTTTTCTTTTAAATAATAAATTATTGTTATTATTATAAATATAAGAAAATGTGATTGTTTTGTTAATGTTTGGTGCTTTAATTTAGCGAAGGAAACACGTGGAGCAGACGACAATAGAATGGGTTGTTGTGTTGTGCTCTGGGCGACTTTGTGCACAAATGCACAACATGGTGTGCACTGTAGAATCTCGCAAGAATCATGTGCGCACATGCCACACGCTACACTTATACATTACACTATGCAAACGTTCACATTGAAATACACATATACACATCATGCACCAACACAAACAAATGTGCATGCATATGTACTATTGCCCACACACGCCAAATTTACAATGCACACACACATCACATGAACATAAAGTGCACGCAAGGTCATGATGAGTTGCACACATACGACGAAAACCCATTAGCCAAGATCGACAATGCAAATGCACGTCTACGGAGGCCACAATGCACACCAGTACATTGCCCATGAAAACTACTCATAGGTCAATCACATATATAAACAACATTATACTCAAACGAAAGACAATTAAAAAACTCAAAAATGAACTTGAGTCTATGGTTGAATAATATAAACGTAGAAGAAGAAAAATTCAAAGCCAGATGGAGAAAGAACTCCACATGAAGAAAGATACATCAAGAACAAAATTCAAGCCATCTCAAAGTGAGGAGGACTCCTTGTGCGCAGTGAGCGAAGGTCTAGTCTCTGTGGTTCAGTTGAGCCATGATTTACATCCTCCCAGATGCTCGGTCGGGTCGGGGTGTGGGGGTCCTTGGGGTGGGGAATTCAACCTTTTGGGAAGAAGATAAAATTTAAGCCTATCATAAATTCCTTCCCTAAAATCATGCATAACAACCATATAAAATGCTATACATATTTAAAACAAGTGTAAATACCCCCAATTACCCCTTTGAAAATTACCGAAATTAGAAAAAAGAAAAAAAAAAAAAAAAACATAAAATTACAGCCACATTTTTTGTCCATAGTTTTTGTGTGAGAAGATATTTTCATATGTCCATTGTACTTTTTATATTTATACGTTAATCCTGTTATATATACTAGTATTTGTCCCGTGCGGTGCACGGAAAATATGTTATAAAAATATACCCTATATGAGGTTTATTCATATATAATATTTTTGTTATTTAATAATTATTATGTGTGAATTCCTATGATAAAATTATGAACATAAATATATTTACAATTAAAATAATATTTAAGGTGGGTGATTACTACAAAGCTTAAATTATATTAAAAATTTAGTACATAGTATTTAATATTACAAATTTTTAAGAATTTAGTAAACTACAATAGTAATTGAATTACAATTTTAGAGTCACCACGGATCAAAATTTTTAGACCTTTGAGATTTCTAACTCTAGATGTAGCAACATACAATTGACCTTTAAAGACCAAAATCACAATCTTAGTTCGAACATTGATTTTTTCTTCCGAATACTATCGAATTAAGTGTGTAATCAATAAAAGATGAGAACTAATAATTCGAGAATATAATCTTAATGTTACTAAGCCTACTTCACGTCAATTAAGTTGGAGAGTGTTGTTGGATAGTATCCGATGAATCCATGAATAACGCATCTTTGTCTTCGTAGTCCTCAATATGCACATCAACAATCTTAAATATTAGGCCGCCTAGCTATGCCATATATTAATTTTAAACTTATGAACTTTGGGGTTGCATGCAATAAAAAGTATATTTTAAATATACTAAGGGTACATTATATATGTATGTAAGGTACTTTTAATATAAAAATAATGTATTTTTAATATATTAAAAATGTATTTGATATTCATGATTCATACAATTATGTGGACCATCGTTCACATAATAATTTGTCAGTAGAAATTGAAATATAAATAAATATAATATATATATATATATATATATATATATATATATATATATATATTAGAAACTCTCATTGGAAATTATTATCATAATTATTATTGCAATTATTATTATTATTGTCATTGATATTATAATTAATAATATTATTATGGTCTTGTGAAAATTAAATGTTGATTATCACCATTTAATTTTCACAAGACCATATGGCTTTATTATATATAGGATAGGATAGGATTTTAGTAAGATCAATTTGAAGTTATCTATATATTTATACACACAATAAATAGCAAAATTTGAATGAATCGCGGATTAATTGATCTCACTCAAAACAACATAACTCCACCCATGTTTACGTATCTCAACCTTCAAGTACGTTCTATAGGCATTATGATCTTTGTCCATTCATAAAAATTCTAACTAGCTAACTTCTTCAATCAAAATATATGATAATCAGAAAAATATTTGTGAGATTATCTTTCATAAAACGAATCTCAAATGCATAATAATATTTTTAAAATAAAATGTAATACATTTTTATAGGTTAATATTTTCATTCAAAAGTATTACATGTTCTTTGAAAATTAGTGAAAATGTAATATTTATTGACACATAAATAAAATATTATATTTTCAGTAAAGAGTATTACATATTTGAGATTATCTCACATTAAATGATCTCACAAATGACCAACCGTTACTAATAATATACTACATAATTGATCTCAAAATTAAAATTAAAATTAAAATTAAAATCCTTTTAGAAAACGGAAAAAGATACACCACTCAAAAGTGCTTGTTTCTAGAAACTTCATCTTGTCAATTTGATTTGATAAACAATTATTACTTAGGAAAATATCATTTTTTTAGTTCCCAGTTATGACTAAAATGTAGATTTAGTCACTCATTTATTATTAGAATGATAAATTCGATTTATTAAAAATGAAATCCGTCATAAATGTGAACTTAATAAAGTGGTTAATTTATTTTCTTAGAAACTAAATTTATAATTTTGATAATAATTAAATGACTAAATCGACACTAATCACGACTTATTGAAGAGTTAAATATGTACTACTATCATAATTGAAAATTAAAAATATCACTAAAAATGTCATTTTCCATACTAAAATATAAGATTTCTAAAAATTAAAATTAAAATCCTTTTAGAAATGGGAACTAAAATGCACCACTCAAAACTCGAAGTCAAGGATACCTCATCTTGTCAATCAATTTGATTTGATAAAGCCTTTGTCCCCTCAACAGGAGATGATGATTGCAAGATTTTTTACAAGAAAAATATTAAGTGTATTTCTTGAGAATAGAATTCTCACCAGAATTTTAAATGAATAAAATAAAATAAAACAATTTTAAATAAATAAAATAAAATAAACAGAAGTACATGAAGTATTATCTACCATCTACATCTACATCTACATCTACATCTACAATTCTAATAAGAGTCAATAATGTTAGGCCCTTATTTGGAACAAAGCAATGTCGGTAATATTGTTTTTTAAAATAAATAGTTCATATTATTTTGATTTTAGTATTTTGTAATGATTTTCCTTATTTACCTTCTATTATATTATTTTCTTCCCTTAAATAACATAAACTCTGTTAGTATAAACTTTAGTAACGAAATATTTCGTTAACTATTTATTATTTTTAACTTACTCATTAATTTCTATAAGAAAGGTCTTAGGTTCGAACCACATCACAATTAGAGTTGGCATGATTGTTAAACATATACTACGAAAATGATAAAATGTATTAAAAAATATATAATATAAAATTTAACATAAACTTTGGTCAAATAATTAGTCCGACTAAATACATAACATTCAAAGTTAAGCATCAAAGATTATAAATCAAGAACTTTAAAAATCATTTGATTTTTATGCATTTAAAAAAAAAAACAAATTTAGGTTAATTTTTTTTCGTTTAATTATCTTCTTTCGATTATTTAGATCAAAACAAAACTTAATATTTCAATTATACTTTTGCATTATTGGTATGATTTAGGTCGTTATGGTATCAATATTTTTGGTATGTATTTGTATAATGGTACAATTGTACATTACTTTACAAATATTATACTACTCATATTATTTTTTTATTGGACAAAATTGTTGTTACATCATTGTCAGACCTGCGCGACCTAACTACAAAGTTTTTTATCATAAATACAATTACACATGGACTCTAAAACGGTAGGACCATTTTCTAAAGAATTGACAATGTTGACATCCCACTGGTTCCAATTGAACAAGTTTACACATCATAATTTTATCAATGTATGAAAACTTCTAAAGAAATTTGTAAGTTAATTTTTACTATATCATTGTAACAATATTTATTTTAACTATATATTTTGAATTATTTATTTTCATCCTCTACTGACAGGAATTGTAACAATTGTCATTGACAAACTCTCAAAACAATTTGTCTCAACAACGAATGTAAATTAAAAAAAAAAATTAATGATTTCATTATTGTTGATGAAAAGTATGTATGCCACTTTATTACTCTTATTAAATTAAATAAATTAGTAGCTAGCTACAACAAAAAATAATACATATGCATTTAATTAATTTAGAATTAAATGTCAATAATGCCTTTATTTAAAAAAATTGGTCATTATAAAAAATTTAAAAAAGATATAATTTCATTAGTTATATATTATCTTTATTTTCTACAATTCAAAATTTCATTACCTTCAAATTTATTAATTTATTATATTGAGTACATTGTCCATTGTCTTCTTTTTACATTATCTTGTAATTAAATATTAAAGTTATAATACAAAATATCTTTATATATATATATATATATATATATATATATATATATATATATATATATATATATATATATATATATATATATATATATCAAGTATTTTATACAAATATAATCAATATTAATATTTTGTTCAATATTTTCACATGAAAACCTACGACAAACATCTCACAACGCATGAAACATGTAGGGGAAGAACTACAACTACCAAATATCAATAGGTGCTTGTAAGATAGAGAATTAATAGTACAATTAAGATCTCATCATATACACAACAAGGCAAATATAAATCTTGCACGATGAGTCCATCTATATGCTACCACCAGTAACTAGACAATGACGATAATTGAAGCATGTGCTCCATCTCAACTAAAAGCCTAAGCTGATAGTTGGATTGCACATTAATGGCTATATGCTCACACGCCCCCTCACGTGTGCGGTGGGTTCCAAGCAACACGTGGAACGGTAAACCGTAGTCGCTTACGAGTGGCGTTGAGATTCGAACCCATGACCTTTAGTCTGGCTCTGATACCAAATTGAAGCATGTGCTGATAGTTGGATTGCACATTAATGGCTATATGCTCACAACGATGTTACCCAAAAGAGAAGAATTAGAGAAATTTAAACCAAACGTAGTATTTATTTAAACTATCGTTTTTAGACTAAGTATTTAGACTAGCGTTATTACAAAGTTGCAAATATTTATTTTAGTGACAATATAATCAATCTCTCATATATTATCTTACATTTATATACTTTAAATTACCGATGTAAATAAACAAATTCAATATTTATTTACTTATGCATGAACATCTACGATATAATATTACATTGATTTACTTTGAAGTTTGAAATACTAATTTAAAAATAATTATTGATCATTATTTTATTCGCGCAAAATGCGTAAAACAACTAGTTGCTTAATAAACAGTTATATATGGTCTATTATTGGTGAAAAATGTGGCTAGTGTGAACCATAGCCACAAGACAACACCGGCAAAAGAAATGAATACCAAATTGGTCCATTTATTCTTGATATGACCTACAAACCATATGAGCCATACACTTGTAAGCTTGAATCAAATTAAACTATGAAAAAACCTCCCCTAAGGCACAAGCAATGCAACTCAAACCGACATCTGGCTGTTCATCAGGTGAACAACCAAAGTTACAACGTCGTAATCTTTCGATCCCAACAAAATAAAACCGTCTTTCATTGAGATTGTGTTTTCCATCCATTCATACATCCACACGTACCCTTT